TTTATTTATTTGACAGAGAGAGACACAGTGAGAGAGGGAACACAATCGGGGAGTGGGAGAGGGAGAAGCAGGCTTCCCGCCGAGCATGGAACCCAATGCGGGACTCAGTCCCAGGACCCTGGGATCATGACCTGAGCTGAAGGCAGGCGCTTAACGACTGAGCCACCCAGGTGCCCTTTAAATAAAATTATTAATTAAATATTCATGGGACGCCTGGGCGGCTCGGTTGGTCATCCAACTCTTTTTTTTTTTTTTTAAAGATTTTATTTATTTATTCATGATAGAGAGAGAGAGAAACAGAGGGAGAAGCAGGCTCCCAAGGAGCAGGGAGCCCAATGCGGGATTCGATCCCAGGACCCTGGGATCATGACCTGAGCCGAAGGCAGACGCTTAACCATCTGAGCCACCCAGGCGCCGGGTCATCCGACTCTTGATACTGGCTTAGGTCATGATCTCAGGGTTGTGAGACTGTGCGCTGCATCGGGCCCTGTGCTCAGTGTGGAGTCTGCCTGAGATTCTTTCCCCCTCCTCCCTCTATTCCTCCCCCTGTTTGCGCGCACTCTCTCTCTATATATGTAATAAATAAAATATTTAAATGTAAAAAATTTTAAATTTTAAAAAATATTTTTCTTAAAAATAAAATCTTATGAAAATATGGCAGAATATTAGCATAAGTTGTTTATTTAATCTTGATGGTAGATACAGAGGTAGGTGCTATATTTATTTCTGTACTTTTTAACAAATTTGAAATATTTCATAATTCAAAAAGTGAATGAAGAACACTCAATTCAGGCAGAGGGGGAAAGCTTGTGCAAAGGCCCTGACTAGAGAGGAGTCTTAGCAAGTTCAACTGAGAAGGATGCTGGTTGGCTTGAGTGAAGTCCATCCAGGAGACATCCATCTAGATGTTATCTAGAGTGTCATGAGATAAGCATGGCAAGGTAAGCAAGATCTTGATTTTCAAGGCCTGGTAGCCCATGTTGAAGATTATGGATTTTGTGCTAATGGCACTGGGAAACCACCAGTGGATCTGAAATAGTGTAGTGCTGTGTGGATAATGGACTGGAGGGTGGGAGTACAGAAAAGGGAATGCTGAATGGATGTACAAAGATCTGTGGAATCCAGTGTTGCCAGTGGGGATGGATAGAATTGACAGATGTGAGATGAATTTTGGAGGTCGAGTCAATAGGTCTTGGTGATGGATCTGATGTGGAGATTTGGCGAAGGCATGTAGTTAAGGATGACTCCAGAGTTTCTGTAATAGCTGCTGGATGGATGTAGGGAGCTGGGGAAAGTCAGGCAAAGATCAAATTTGGTATGAGAAATCAAGTCTTGGGTTTGAATTCTTGTGAAAATATTGGGTAGATACTTGGATATAAAGGTTAGGATAAGAAGAATGCTCTGGATGAGAGATCTAAATTTAGGAGACATCAGGAAATTGACATTTGAAGCCATGATGAATCACCCAGCAAGAGTGAACTAGTTGCTTGATTGTGAACTTAACATGTACTCAAAGACAACATAGAGAAAAAAAAAATGCCAGGTCAGACTTGTAAAAAATGGGCCCGATACCGTAAAATAAAAGGAAAAGAATTTTTCACATTCGTGTTTCAAAAAGTGACTTATTTTCAGTATGTTTTGGTTTTATATAAGGTGGTAAATATATTTTTATTGTCCTTTACTACTATTATGCAAGTTTCCCTAAAAATGCTACTGAAAATAGTTTTGTTTCCTTTTCAAATTTTATTTAATGTAGGTTTACATCATTTAATCTTTCATAAAGTGTTCAACCAGTAGAGATGATTAAAGAATCAGGACCCCCCTCCCTGCCCCCAAAGAATGTTGGTTTGGGATAAAAATCATATGAAGGATCATTTAGTTTCATTTCCACAGTATTTTTATTTTATTCCCAGTAATGAAGAGTAGTCAGATAAAAATTTAAGTTTTATTGTATATGGTGTACACACACACACACACACACACACACACAACCATCTGAATTCATCTTGTTAAAATTGTCCTGGAAATCAAGTGTCAGCAAAGTCAGAGTTGAACCTGAGGAACAAATCTCTTGTTTCTTTCTTAGCTCATTACCAGGATCTCCTACTGTCTTGTAAGAAGATATATTTCTTCAAGTGAATGATTTTAACAGAAATATGTCTACCTGTTTTCTTTAACAGTTGTTTCGAGAAGTACGAATAATGAAGATATTGAATCATCCTAATATAGGTATGAAATTTACATATACAATTAATGATGAAGTATATTCTTTAATTTGAAGCTATCTGAAAAGATAGAATTTTAAGGATGTTCTTTATAAAAAGAGTGATAACCTGAGAAAGTGATACTTTTAGTAAAAATAGATTATAAAGAAGTTAACTGAAGGCTACGGATGGCTATCTACTACTTTGCTGTTTTATGCTCTCTACTAAAATAATATATATGACTTGGAGTTAACGCATACGAATATTTTTTGTATCTCCTTACTAAATTGTTCTAGAGATTGCATGCCATTTGAGATATTTATAAGAAATGAATTCCAGATAATTTGATAATATGCATTTGGATTTGACCATAGTTTATAGGCAAAATCACTAATTTGAATTTTTAAGAAAATAGAATTTATTTCAGTTTTAGTTAATTTATTCCCAGAAGTTCTGGTTTTTCCCTACGTTTACAAATAAATATATTGACTACATATGTAGTCATTGGATTATAAGAAGTAAAAAGTAATTTTTCTTTTAATCTCATTTTCTTAACACTTGTTTCTTTCACACTTAAAAATCTTATGCTTACTAGAGATGTTAATGTGATTATTTGTGATGTATAATTTCAACTATGTACGTCTGATAACTTGGTGGTTTTTTAACCAGAAACTTTATAACACCACATATTATGGAATTTTTTTGTTTCTCTACCAAAGATTGTTTAACATTTTATGACAGGCTCATTATATAATACAGTCTCCTTTTAAGCTTTACTTAAAATTTTGTTATGCTGAGCTTGTTTTGTTATTTTAAGCTTTTCCTTTTTATTATATTATTCTCATTAGAAAAAGTAATGGTTTTTTTAATCCCAGAAACTTAACTCTTTTGACCCAGCAGTTGGTTACAAATCACTTTGTGGTAAGTAGTTTTCTTCCATAGTAGTCATAACCCTTGAGAGAATTTTTCAGTTTAAAATTATAATTAATAATTTTCAGTAAATACTCAAATTTTCCCCTGGCTTAGGGAAAATTTATACTTAAATTTTCTTAAAGCAGATCCAGTATATGCTAACAATTACAGAATTATATCTCTGATTTCTTTTTTCAGTAAAATTGTTTGAAGTTATTGAAACAGAGAAGACCCTCTATTTAGTCATGGAGTACGCGAGTGGGGGTAAGGATGAGAGGGATGGAAAAGTTATCTTTGATGAGACATACAGAATTATCAACACCCGAAGTTTCACTGTAACACTTATGTCTTCACTGTGATTAAGTGATATATCTTAAGTAAAATTCAGTGTTTACTTTCAGGACCTATTGATCCTACATTTAAAAGTCAGATTTTTGGCTAAGTTAAAAGTTGCCTAGGGACATTTTTCTAAACTCTAAATTTGCATTGTTACCTATGAATGTTTTGATTCTCTTATCTAAGTATTATATTATTGTGATTAGAATTGCTTGGCTATAAGGAAATTCTCAAATTCACAATGTATTTAATAAAGTTTATAGTAAAAGCATATTCTAGACCAGATGTTTATTTCAGTGACTGTTTATATATGACAGATTCCCGATATGCATGCATTTTCAGGATAATCCATAAAATGTTTCAATTTAAACAAGTATTGATTTATACATGTTATAAGTTCGAAGACTGAGTTGACAGAGAAATAAGATGTATTTGTAGAATATAATACATACTTTTGACTGCATAGTGTCAAGAGTAGGAGTGATTTTTAAACACTGGTATATAATAGAAAATCATTTTCATCTTCTGCACTTTCCGTCAAACGAGAGGTACATCAGCTCAAAATCACTATTGTGTTAGGCATAGGACTTTCTTAGAAACACATTTAAAATTTTTTGGAGATAAATCATTGAATAAGTAAAAAAAGAATGCTTGAAGGTTTTAAGCAATTGAAGAATTAAGAAGTTAAGCAATTAAAAAGGAGGGAGGGCAGCTGCAATTATTTAAACCACTTTGGCTAATTAACTTTTTTGCTAATCAATAGAAAACCTTAGGGTTGAATTTAGTGTTGATTCCTTTTAGCTAATAAAAGTGTATAGATTTTTATGGTAATTCAGATTTTATGTAACTTCGATAAAAAGGATTTTAGTCTATTGTACCTAAACTGTGTATTTTTATACTATTTCTTAGGTTTCTAAAAATGTTTACTACAAATATCACATATATTTTAATAGCTTTTTCTGTTTTTAATGCAGATTGAAAGTTTTAGTAGGTTTGGTTTTTTGCAAAGCCTTTTCTCATCCTGAAAGTATTTTGATGGAGGTTTTTTGACTTAACCTGAAAACCTATGTCATCAAGGTTTATTATTACAGGATTTTTAAAAAGTATTAATACAGCCATGTGAATTTGCATAAAACATAGGTCTATAATAAAATTAGTGAACCTACAGTTACCACATAATGAACTATTTCTCTATTTTTCTATCCTTTAGTTAGATTTATATAATAGTTTGTCAGCGTGGGAACCCTGGGAGTTATTTTTAGTACAGTTAGACTCTTTTTTTCCCTTTTACTGATCTAAAGTCTAGAGAAAAGGGCTAGACATGCTTTGATATGAGAAATTACAGACTTCTAAAAACTGGTGGGCACTTCTGTTTTTATGAAGGTCCATCACAAGGCTCTGTTAATATGTATGCTGTTTAATGATAAATGGTAAGTACAGTCAACTCTCTATTGGTGCTAATGAAGGGGAGCAATGGCTGGAGAAACAGAGAGCACATGGGGTCATCACTGCTCTCCTTCAGTAGCATAGTTAGGAGGGGTACGGGGTGCAGTCTACAGGGGTGTATACTGGAATTCAGCCCAAACCAGGTGCTCTCTCATTTGATTCTAACGCCTAGTGGTAAGTTTTCTTTGAGTCTTGCCCATCAGTGATCCTTTAACAAAACCATCATGGTTCTGTGGTGGCAAATCTAGAATCATTTCCTTGCCTTTTTAATCTGTAAATAGCAAAGTAACTTTTATAATCTTTTTCCTCTGAAATTTCTAGACATTTTAGGATTGACTCTGACATGGACAAAGAGTTGAGTCAAACGGCTGCCTCTTTGTCAGGAGTATTTAGATCATTTGATTCTGGTTCACTACGGGGCAAAAGATCTTTGGTGATTACGTAGGCAGGGAACTCCTTTATGATTTTGAACCACATTGAATCCAAAAGAGTCTATTAAAAGTAGGTGTTGGGGCTGCTCTGGAATGGTGTGTTGATTTCTTCTTTCATTCATGCCAACAGTATTTATTAAATGTTTCTATGTACCAGATGTTATTCTGGGTGCTGGGAACACATGGGTGAGCAAAGACAAAGTCCTTGCCCTCAAGAAGATTACATTCTTTTGGGGAAGCAAATCCTAAACAAATAATATATAGTAAGTGAAGGACTAAGTCTTGTAAACATCTGGGGTGTGGACATTCTAGGCAGAACTTAAGAGCAGCCCATATTTTTGAACTCTTGCATATATCTTTCCCAGCCTAAACTCACATATCTGGAATTAACTACTGTGATGGGTCGACTAGAGCATCCATTCATTTCTGTTTTCATCATCCCATTCAGTCATTTAAGTATCTTGATATCATATGTTGTCTGACATTGTAGATGTATTAATTTCATCTGACGTACATCATTACATATTTGGTTTTTAGTGTTTTACTTATATATTTATAGGATTGATATTGAATATATATATATAATTTTTTGTATACTTAGATACAAATATATAATTTATTGAGTGCTTACTATATGCCAGTCACTGTGCTTAAGCACATGCATTACTTCATTTAATCCTTACAACAGCCATGTGAGATAGGCACTGGATAGAAACGGGGTCTTAATAAAGTTAAGAAATCTTCATAATGTCTCCCAGTAGCTACTTGGGGCTAAACCAGGATTCATATCAAAATCGGCCTGATTCTAAAGCCTGAGTTTTTAACCACTTTGCTGTATTTACAAGAACTCTTTAAGCCATTTCGTGAGTTTTTAATATACATGTATATCTATATGGTGTAAATTATAAGGATGTAAAAAATAAATTTCTCCCTTACACTGAGATATTTTATTTTTAATATTGTAACTAAATATTGTTTTTTTTTACTAGTATTGACCAGCGAAAAATGAACAAACTTCCAGACATGTAAAGTAATGGATCTAATAAGAACTTTCTATAGTTTCTAGTTTAAATTATTTCAGCAAGTATGTATTGTCTATCCACTTTGTGTTCTGTCATGGGGATAGGGCAGATATGATAAATGAAGCTCATTTGTAGTAATGGGAGATGCACACAGGATGAGTTAATTCTGTATAAGTACTTAAGTACCAAAATAGATGAAATGAGTATAGTGAGAAAAGCATAGTTAGAGTATAGGAAGGAAGTGGCTGAAATCAATGTGAATGGAAGTAGTGAGAAAAAATTTGATCAAGACTCCATGACAGTAGAATTTAAGAGAGAGAGATCCAACGTAATACGACTTTTGTTACTTTGTCTGACATGTAGTTTCCAAATACAAAGCCAAATGTAATTTTTGATTGCTCGCACAGTGGCTTCCCTTTATTAGAATGGATAATAAAGAGTTGACTGTATTATTGTGTAATACTTGAAATCAGAAAGCAAATTTTCTTGGTTATGTTTTTATGATTTATTTTTTAAAAGAGTTTTGCTAAATCATAAGCTGCTACAGATACTCAATTCTATGTGTAGTTTTTCCCTTTTTTCTCTTCGTGTAATAGTTCGTGATTTACGTAAAACTACCAGAAAATTGTGGGCCAAAAGCTTCTCTAAAAACAAGGCAAAAACTTGACACTGCTTATATTGTTAACTGAAAAATCTATGTATATTTTACTGCCTGCTTTACCTTTCTGATTCAGGTGAAGTATTTGATTACTTAGTTGCCCATGGAAGAATGAAAGAAAAAGAGGCCCGTGCAAAATTTAGGCAGGTATGGAAAGTAGTTTTTTAACTTTGTTTTGCTAATGTTTTTAGTGATATACAATGGACAGTATCACAAACTGGACTTCAGAGTACATGGTATTTTAAAAAGAAAAATTCCTGCTTTCTTATATGTTTTAAGAATGGGAAACTGAAAAAGAAATTTGTTCTTCCTGAATTTAAATTTAAGATAGTTGCATATGGTTATTTTTAGATGATCATAAATAGTGAAATGTTTTTAGGTGAGTCTCATTAATTCATTGATAGTTTTGGAAATACAGACTAGATTAAGAAAGAAAAGAAATACTTAATCCTTTACCCAATAATTATTATCAAGAATTATTAGCTTTATGTATTCAGTATATATGCGTAGTGCTTAAAGACATTGTGTTTTCTTTTGTCATTAAAGGTGTCTTGGTATTAGAACTCATATCTTTGTAGATGTAAAGATTGTGGTCAGTTTTATTTAGTCAAGTAGGCAAGAAACCTTACAAATGTGGTAGAAGAATATGGTAAGATGTGTATATTTCCGGTTCAAATTGAACATGACTTGTTCTAGAAACTATAAAATAGGAAAAAGTAATTTAAGTTCCTCTAGGATTTTACTTCTAATTTTTAGGAATGAAGTGATTAAAAACATACTTTACAAATTACTATAGAAATGATAAATATGGAATTGTAAATTGTTCATAAAATTTAATGAAGTGAAATTTCAGCAGGCAACTTGCTATAGCCCGAAGTTTACCTTAGTGAATTTAAAATATTTCATTTAAAAATAGCTCAGTACTTCTGTAAGAATGGGTACTGATTCTCTAGTTAAAGGGGTCTTGTGATCAATAAGTTTGGGAAACACTGAATATGGATATAGGGTTACATATATATTAACATGTAAACAATTAGAAAAAGTTGAAAGTTCTGGAGGAGAGGGGGAAAAAAAAATCTGTTTCACCCTTTTTTAACATAGTATTCTCCAAATTGATCACGAAGTGAATTTGTTTGATAAAACTCTGTTGTTGATATTACTTTTTGGAACATAATTTGTGAAATGCTTTATACCAAAGATAGGCATAGCCCTTTGATTCAGGATAGCTTCCTAGAAATATTCATCCTAAAATATCTGAAATCTGAAGACAACTGGTAATGAGGACAGGACCTTGAAGACCTGAGTGGGGTTCAGCCACTTACTGCTCAGTCCTCTCTGGTCCCGGGATGGAGGCTCACCTTGAGCAAGGCCCTGGTCATCCCCTTCAATGTCATTGTTCCCTCACTATCAGTCAAGCAGTCACAGTTAGTAGCCGACCACGAAAATTACACTTGACGTTAAGTATTTCCACTGGGGTCTTAATATGTGTTGTATAGACTGCTGCTACTGTAGTTCTTTTTAGTCACCTGGCTGTATTTATTTACTGAAATCATACTGTGTGGAAATAACTGTGTTGGGTACTCTGTGGAATTGGAGAAGAGACAGTGCCTGCTATTACAAAGAACTTGCCCATCTTTCCCGATGGCTGGAACACAGACATTTTCATAAAGACCCAAATAAGTATGAATTGGCTCTTTTTAAAAATAAAGTCTGAATTATTTTTTGAAATACTCTTCATGCTGCAGAGGTCGAGTGTCAAATGCTAGTTATAAATAAATAAATAGTAAGGTTATTTGCTATCTGGATGTCTTCCTTCAGAATTAAAAAGGTAACTAACTCATCTTTTTAAAAACCAGGAATACAGGCATACACAATTTAGGAGCCATTTGACAAAGGGTTCTGTTTGTTTTTAAATTTGCTTTTGAGGTGCCTATTTTTCTTCATAAATTAGTTAAGATGATAAATGTACACTTTTATTTTTTGCTCTGTATCACGAAGTTATTTTTTTTTTAATTTTAACACCTTAGGAATGTACTGTGTTAGCAAGTATATACACACATATGTCCTTTACTTTACTATTGGATACAGCCAGAGACAATTCAAGAGCACTTCAGTAGCCATGGACCATGCAGTGTCTCTGCATTCCTGAAGTTTTGAGGACCTGAAAGAAAATTACAGTATTGATTCAACTCTTCCAGTATCAAGGCTACTACCTAAAGCTTGGAATTCCTGACTCAATTATAAATTAATTGCAAAGCAACCCAACATTTGCGCCTCATGGCAAAACACAGCTCTGAATTTAGGGTCAGTGCAGGGTTGATTGTAAATCATGTTTTCAAGATCCATAAAAGAACACTCATAAGGAAGTTCCTGCATCCTACTTAATGAGGTACAGAATGTTTTGGGATGGGAGGATCTGGCCATAGAATAATGCAGTAAAATTTAGGCTTGTGCATGGGGATTCTTGCAGTGAATCAAATAGAAGGCAGAAATTGTACCCTGCTGGATAAGTTTAGTAATATTATAAGCCACCACGTTAACTGACAGAAGTCAGAGGTCATAGAGTTTGGGGAGAATGAAATGCTTAATATAGAGCATTCTCTTAATTATCTTTCCATTCTTAAGGTTTTAAGGCTCAGGAGACTTTTATTCCGGAAACACCTATAGAACTGCTTTCATGGAGACCATTCTGTCTAATGTTAAAATGCATGTTTGGTAACCAAATCATTTATCTATAACATGCCTTCTTCACTGTTACAAAGTGACTTTAAAACCACTATTACTAAAAATAGCCTTGTAGGATATTCATTAAGATGTATTAATATTTACATGTAAGTGTGTATATCTCTTGGCAAATAAATGTGTTTTAATGGAAATGGGATATTAGAATTTTAAAGCATATTGCTTAAGAAGACTAATACAAATATTCGTTATAAGATTCTTCTGTTTGGGGGGATTTGCATTTCAAATTGATCATAATCATCCACAGTTGCTCTGCTTAAAAACATCTAGTGGTTCTGTAGTACCTGCTTAGTTTGGAATTCAGAGACTTACCAACCTATCAACGTTTATTCCCACTATTACCATTTTCCCACCTACTTGTCAAATACATTGTGTTGCCTCAACCTCAGTGCCTTTCACCACCTTACCCCTCCCTCCCTATCACCAGATCGCCACATCTTGAAGTGTTACTGTCATTTGTGATGGCTTAGATCAAATATCCTGTACTCCAGACAGCATTTCTAACTGGAATTATTCTTTATTTGATATGATTCCCCTCACTTCTTTGTACCTCTGCCTCTATGATTCTGCCTTGTACTATGGTTGCTCATATACATGTTCTATACATGTTTTCTCCTAATCAGACTTCCAGCTCCTAAGGGCAGGGTCCGTGTAGTGTTCATTTTGTGTTCCCCTAGCAACCAGCACATTTTCTTGCACATAGCAGGTACTCAATAAACTGACTTCTGAATCAAAATGAACTTAATTGAATTACATATTACTCATTGTGTGTTGATTTTGTTTTGAATTCATGTTTCTGTCTGAACCATTTTAATATACGTTAGAATAACGTCCTGAGCTATCAATCTCACTTCTACTTTGAAGGGTTTTTTTTTAACCCATATTTCTATTAGCATGGCCATACTTAACATCATCCTTAGGCTTTTAAAAATCTCATTTCTATCTCCATTTGTAAATGCCTAACCAATTTTCAGCATTCATGTTGTTTCCATTTAACTGAATCCATAGGATTGAATGTTCTGCTGTGCATTAAAATGGCCGTCCTCCTGTAAATCAGCTATAACTACATGTACAAAATAGTTCTTACCTTGACTGCTATCTGATTCTTTCCATTTTTCTATTTTATGTAGTAAACAACTATCAAAGAAATGTTTATAACTTATTTCTCACCTGTATCTTGGCTCTTACCGTTGGGTTCCACCTTGTTCAGTCTTTGTCCCCGAAGAGCCTATGTAATGGTTTACAATTACGACTGCATACAAAATCTAGTTAGGGGTAGAATACTTTGCCCGACTGACTTAATAACAAGTTTAGGATTAAACTTCATTTTTCCCTCTTTTTTTTTGATAATTGGGTTTCATCTTAAGGCTAAACAGTTTTCCCATTTCTTTATATATGAACAAAGACAGGACAATGCCAAATACCCCATTGTTAAGTTCTTAGTAAATTGGCCTTGCTTAAAAAACATGCCTTGAACACATTTGATAGTAATTCCTAAAATAGACTGGTTCATGTGTTCCAAAGCTCTTATCCCAACATTGGAATAAGCCATTCGATCGGAACTGCAAACTCCACACACTTGATCACGTCAATAGAGAAATGTAACTGCCCACAGAAATCTTCATGGACTCTGACAAGGAACTGTTTTAACGAGAGAATGCTTCTTGTCTACACTGTCCACATTTAAAAGTGAACTTTTCCTCATTTTAACTTTATTCAGAACTGAAGGAACAGGAAAATTACTAAATACTGCTGTGAAATCTAAGTTGGTAATTTATCTCAATTGGAGGTTGTCATTGGGGGGAAATTGCAGTGTTTTTACCATAAAATAATTATGCATCTTTTATCCAAATATTTATTTTAGATTGTATCTGCTGTACAGTATTGCCATCAAAAGTGCATTGTTCACCGTGATCTTAAGGTAAGCCACTGATTTTATAACAAAAGTCTTAATCATGAACAGATGTTTTGTAGTATTGAAGCCATCTCTGTGGTTGCTGAATTGTGCCCGGCTCTCCAAGGAAGTTTTTACTTAATCCTCATGGCAACATCATGAAAAGCAATATTTTCACTGAGAAAAAGAAGAAAATAGGAATGAGAAGTTACCTAGCTTTAAAGGCTAGAGGATTTGATTCACCATTAATAAGCTTGTTTTAATAGATAAATGTGGAACTTTGTCCCCTACTATAAATGCCCGAGATCCCATTCAGTTGGAAGCAAGGTATGGCACAGGGCCAGGTCTGTCTGCTGCAGGTGCCTGCATTCATTCTCTGCACTAAAGCTCACAGAAACAGGGGAAGTGTCTTAACATGTTTTTGTGAACATCAAATGCATGTGACGAGTATGAACTAGCATACTTTGGAATAAGAAATTGAGACATTCAGGAACGGTTTGTGGCAGTGAACGTGGGAGCACAGGTATCTCTTCAAGGTACTCTTCCATTTCCTCTGGGTGTATACCCAGAAGAAGGATTGCTGGATCGTGTAGCAGTTCTCCTTTTAGTTTTTCGAGGAACCTCCATCCTGTTTCCCATAATGGCTCTACCAGTTTATATTCCTACCAGCTGTACTGGGGTTCCCATTTGTTTTGCTGACTTGTTATCTTTTATAGTTTTGATGGTAGCCATCCTGATAGGTGGAAGGTGTTATCTCATTGTGGTTGTTATCTACACTTCCCTGATGGTCAGTGATGTTGAGCACCTTTTCATATACCTATTGACCATGTGTATGTCATCTTTGGAAAAATGTCTGTTTAGGAATTTTTGCTCATTTTTTAATTGTGGTGTTTGGGGGGGGTTTTGCTACTGAGTTGTATGAGTTCCTTATATATTTTGGATATTAATCCTTTATTAGATGTAGAGTTTGCAAATATTTTCTCCCAGTCCACAGGTTACCTTCTTGTTGATGCTTTCCTTTGCTATGCAGAAGCTTTTTAGTATTAAATGAAGTTTCATTTATTTTTGCTTTGGCTGCCTGAGCTTTTAGTGTCATATTCAAAAAGTTAATAATACTGCACTGAATACTGGGAAATTTGCTTAGGAGAGTAGATTTATTTATATGAGTGTGCTCTTACCACACACATAAAAGTTATAACTAAGTGAGGAGGTGATGTGTTAATTAGCTTGGCTGTTGTATTCATTTCACTGTGCATATAAAATCATTGTGTTGTACACCTTAAGTATATATACCATTTTTATTTAAAAATATTAAATAGGAGCTCCTGGGTGGCTCAGTTGGTTGAGTGTCCGACTCTTGATTTTGGCTCAGGTCATGATCTCAGGTTGTGAGATCCAGCCCCACGTGGGGCTTCCTGCTCAGCGGGGAGTCTGCCTAGATTCTCTCTTCCTCTCCCTCTCCCCTCCCCCTGCTTGCACACTCTCTCTCACTCTCTCTCTCAATAAATAAATAAATTTTAAAAAGAAAGAAATAGTATGGCCAAATAGGTATGCTTTTTTTTTCTCATTTATGAAAGTAGAAAATCCTGGAACTAAAATATTTGTCTTTTTTTCCTTTTTCTCTCCTCCTCCAAAGTTAACTTTCATCGTTCCTTACATAGGAATCTTTTTTTTTTTTTTTTTTTACTTTTCTCCCCATGACCTCTGTCAGTTACTAGCACTGGTTTGTATTATACTTAAAAATACTGTCTTAAGGGGCACTTGGGTGGCTCAGTCAGCTAAGCTTCTGACTCTTGATCTCAGCTCAGGTCTTGATCTCAGGGTCGTCAGTTCAAGCCCCGTTGGGCTCCACACTGGGCATGGAGCTTACTTTTAAAAAAAAATTGTCTTAAGCAGTTGTCAGAAGTATTTTGGCTGTTTTTCTGAGCTTGCAGATTTTCTACTGCTCCAAAATTTTTTATTTCTTAGTTTCCTCCAATAACTATTTTAAGGAGAAATCACTTCCACAGAGAAAGAGAAAGTAGAGGACTATTCCCCTGGCTGTGTGTTTGACACCCAGCCTATCATCTCATTTCTTACATGAGCAGAAATCCAAAAAAAAAAAGATCATGGTCAACACCCTCCAGGCTGGGGGATGGGGTTTCCCATGTGCTCCTGGAACAGACCTCAGAGTCCCTTGAGCTTGTGAGGCAGCCATCCAGACCTCTTCACAGAAACTAGGAAAGTCCAGCTTGCTCGCACATGGCCTCAGAAATTTACAACGACCAGGCCCTTACATCAGAACATCAAAATAACCTGGTTTTGTCACCCAGCCCATTAATGTTAGGATTTAAGATAAATCTTCCAAATTTATGTGCTGTTAAAATATTAATGTCATACACGACACATATCCATTTTTCAAAACAGATATCCCAAACTAGCATACCTTAAAAAAGGAAAAGGAGGATGAGGGAGGGAAGGAGCTGTATGGTGGGCAGAGTGCCTGGCTCTCCAGCCATATAGAGAACTCTGGTTTTCGTTGTAGCCAAATTTTACTCCTTTCTGTAACCCCATAAGACACATCTACAAAATAATATATAATTTCCTTAGTCCATCAGTTATAAAAGAGTTTGAAACAAAACAAAAAAAGCAAAGCCTTTATTGAATTGCTTGTATTTACAAAAGGCAAATTTAAAACCTTTTTTTTTTTTAATGATTCTGATTTAGGATTTTGGAAAACCAGCATCTGAAAATATATTGGATGGAAATCACTGCTTTCTACCAAAATATACCTCCAGAAGAGAATTTAGTTTTAGGACAACAAAAGGAAACTTAAACAAGGTCTAGTGGAGGTTGTATTGTATTGTTTTGTTTTACTAAAAGAACAGAACTTTGCTGAGGAAGCATTCTATAAGAGAAGACAAAGGATTGAATTCAGTAGTCACAGAACCCCTGGCTGGCAGTTATTTTAAGTATACTCTCGAGCTTTGCATTAACCAACAATGCTCTATTAAAATAGAGCACTTTTGAGTAAACTTTGTTGGTTTAAGCCCAAGAACGGTTAGTGTTATGTCAACTTATGTTTTTTAAAATAGGTCATATTAAGGTACAGTCCCAAGATGTTTCTTACCATGAAGAAAAAAAATGGGCTTAAAATAATGTGTGGAAGAAAAAGTGTTTTAAGTAACTTTTCTCAAATAGTTGCAGATACACCTATAAATGAGAGCTACCCTTTTATAGTGTTAAAATTTAGTCTTATATAAATGTGATTCTGAACAGTTAGGCATTGAAGCACCATGCTGGGCTTCTAAATTTGATATTATGCTTAAAAATGAGAAGCAAGAGGGGTACCTGGGTGGCTCAGTTGGTTAGGCGTCTGACTTGATTTGGGCTCAGGTCATGATCTCAGGGTCATGGGATCGAGCCCTGCGTGGGGTTCCGTGCTGGGCGCAGCACCTGCTCCCTCTCCCCCCTCCCCCTGGGCTGCACACGCGTGCTTGCTCTCTCTCTTAAAAAAAAAAAAAAGAGAGAGAGAGAGAGAGAAGCAAGAACTGTATGTTGAGATCTGAAATAGTTGTAATAAATATTTTGTTTTATGTAGGCATTTACATTATCCTCTCTATTATTTTCCTCTTAGGCTGAAAACCTTCTCCTTGATGCTGATATGAATATTAAAATTGCTGACTTTGGTTTTAGTAATGAATTTATAGTCGGGAACAAATTGGACACATTTTGTGGAAGCCCGCCCTATGCTGCCCCTGAGCTTTTCCAAGGAAAGAAGTATGACGGGCCTGAGGTGGATGTGTGGAGTCTCGGTGTCATTCTCTATACACTAGTCAGTGGCTCCTTGCCTTTTGATGGCCAGAATTTGAAGGTATCCGGGAGGTTCGGTGCTGGTGTTTTATAGCCAAGCGTGATAATTTCAGTAACGAGTTATGAGTGCTTCCTTTGCCTTTTTAAGGAACTACGGGAGCGAGTCTTACGAGGGAAGTACCGTATCCCCTTCTATATGTCCACTGACTGTGAAAATCTTCTGAAGAAATTATTGGTGCTGAATCCAATAAAGAGAGGCAGCTTAGAAGTAAGTAATTTTTTGTACTCCAGATTTAAAGTTTAACAATTAAAATATTCTAAGAACTGAAGAGCATTTTAAATCATTTTTTCCCTGGTTCTTTTGGTTTTGTTTTGTTTTGTTTTGTTTGGAAAGTTGGCAAGTCATGTAATTTGTTTAGAGCTAGGGAAGGTGACATGATTCTTTCACTACTCAAAAGTTATCACAGTTTCTTTAAAGAAGGTTATTCCTTTGTCCTGCAATGAAGTATTAAATTAAGACACCATAAGGATAGGAATAAGATTGGCTTTTTGTTGGAGAAGGAGGAAAACCTGGCCTCTATCAGAAATTGCTTGCTCCGATACAGGAACCTAGTATGTAGCAGTATAGTTATTCGAAGATAAAGAAAAAAAAAAGACAGTGAAAGTTCTAATCCAGTGAATATTTCATGACCATATCTGAAATTAGAAGCTGATTAAAAAATTGTGAAGAAACCTCTCAATATCAGTACAGAAAATTTACAATTTAAGTAGAACATACTGGAAACGGGAATTTCATTTCTTAACACACTGTTCTGTTACCTACCTACGTTCCACATGTGAGGTTATTTATAATAGATGCTATTATGCTATTATAAATGTACCAGGTACGTTATAGCCAAATAACATCAGAGGTTCACACCACCAAAATGTCTAACCTTTTTTCCTTCTGACTCTGCAATTAACTTATTTTCTAAGTATTTCACCCATCTGTTTCTAAGTATATTTTAACCAATACTGAGATAATTTCAGAAATCCAGCATATACTCTTCACTAGTACTTTTTTTATCTTCATTTATTTGCCTTAATTCAGAGAATTAACCCCACTTAAACTGTACTTTTTAGTGTAGCAATGGGGCTTTCTGGCACAGACTCCAGGCTGGGTAGAAGACAGCCTTATAAGTGTGTCATCCCTGTGGACAGAGCTCTCAGGTTCATTTGGGTTTTGTAATTTTATTTCCACAAATATTTTCCACTAAAAGATACAATACGCTTTGGTGGAAGTTAAGGGATGGTGACTTCTATTGGGAAATTATTTTAAATGCTTTATATCAGTGAATCACATATGAGATATTTTTTACTGACTTATTTGTTTAAATGCAGTTAGTTCATTCCCATAATTTCTGTGGGGTTTTTTTTTCCTTTGGGGGTAAAAGGATATGTTGGTAATGTTTTCACAGAGAAGCCAGTGAAATAGAAAAGCCTTCTTTTATGTTACTGCTTTTCTAAACTTATCTTTGACCATTATTCATAGGAAGTTATGTGAAACAGTGAAAAAGTTAAAATTGTTGACTCTTGTATCAATTCTAAAATTTTATGGCAACGGGGGCACCTGGCTGGCTCAGTTGGAAGAGCATGCAACTCTTGATCTTGGGGTCATGAGTTCAAGCCCCACATTGGGTGTAGAGCTTACTTAATTAAAAAAAAAAAAAAAAGACTATTTAAAAAGTAAATAAAATTTTATGGCAACATAAGTCTTTCTTAATCCTGCTTTATGACCCACTTTTATCATAGGAATCTAGTTTACCTGAATATCACTTAATAAAATGTCCATAGTTGAGGCATCAGCTCAGCTAATGAGAAGAACAAAAAGAATATACAAAAATTATTATAGATGTTACAGATCTCTTAGACAGTGTGTCTAAGTATGTACTTAGTCACTTAAAGATGATTAATTTACAGTAGCCACATATTTAAGTCTTTCATCCTTAGCATTAAAATGCAAAGGATTAAAGTATTAGAATTCTGGGCTGAATTTAAAAGCCAAATTATTATATTACAACATTTGATCATCAGACTCTCAATTTGATGTATTTGAGTATAGTCTGGAACCTTCTGTTCCAGCTTATCAAAACTAAGTTTTCCAGCCACGGAACCGTGAGTCTACATTGGAAATATTATCATAATATTGCAGATATCACCGTACAAACGCTGGTCTGCTTCACAGTTCCCAGAAATAACTTTCCAGAGAAACCTGACACTGTTTATTAAAAAAAAAAAAAAAAGGAAAGAAAGATTTCTTACACCAAACCTTGACAAACTCCCCCTTGAAATAGCAATGATGTCAAAAATTATTTTAGTCTCCTTTTATTTTTCATACCAACTTTAGTAGCAGTTGTACAGAAAAAAAAAAATCCATACACTCTAAAAAATAGCTATTTTCTTTTTTTTTTTTTTTTAAAGATTTTATTTATTTATTTGAGAGAGAGAGAATGAGAGAGATCACATGAGAGCGGGGAGGGTCAGAGGGAGAAGCAGACTCCCTGTCGAGCAGGGAGCCCGATGCGGGACTCGATCCAGGGACTCCAGGATCATGACCTGAGCCGAAGGCAGTCGCTTAACCAACTGAGCCACCCAGGCGCCCTAAAAAATAGCTATTTTCAAAACACCAGTCTTTAGTGTATAAACGTAAATTTTTGTACAGTAGTAATGTTTCATATCACATTGCATTCTTTTTTTTCTTTTAACTTCAAAGTTTTGGGTTATGTGCTTTCTACTTTATCATAAACATGAACTCCTTCCTTGCCAATAGCAATGTTGTTCTCTTCGGGTTATGTATCATCCCCTGCCTGTTGCACATTTGAGTTGTTTCCATTGTTTTTACTAAAAATAATGTGATACACTTTTTTCCCCTTCGGGATACATACTTAGATATATTCTCCAGAGTGTAATTAGTACGTCAAAGGGTATAAACAGTCTGATAGGTCTTCTGTATTCATTGCTAAAAATTGTGTGACCTAAGGCATTTGAACGTATCTGTTCTCTACACCTGATTCAGTATTCGATATAATAATTTCTAGTATTTGATGCCTTTATGGTAGTTACATGGTTTGTCATAATTGCTTTAATTTGTATTTATTTCATCAGCGATAATGCCTAATATTTTTAATGACTAGGTTAACTTTGCTTCTTTACATATAAGCTCTGTGTCTCTGAACTCTTTGTCTAATGGAGTCTGATTAATCTGTCTTACAGATCTGTATCAGCTTTGTACATTTAATATGAAATATTTCCTCTGTTAATTCTTATATTTTTAAAAAAATGGAACTTTATATATTTTTTTTCAGTGTTAGCTTGAGGATCAAGAGTTACTGATGAGAGCAAACACTAGTCTTTCTTCACTATATAATTTGTTAATATTGAAATTCAATTTAAAGAATCTTACACAGCTGTTTATTATCTTACTAAACTTCTCATTTAACTCAGATAGCCTCCTGTTGCTTCTCAAATAGGATTACATACTTTATTAAAGTCTTTCTTAAAGCCTTCTATGTCAAGTACCATACTTAGTCCCCCATGAAAATAAAATGAATGAAATTAGTCTCACATTCTACTTACTTGACCTATTGTTGTCTCTGGAACTAAACAGTTGCATAAATTTCTTCAGGTAGTATATATGAATGCTGGCAGAGCTTGCTCATTGCACTGATAATGGGAGGGGTGGTTTCACACATTTTAAAAGGGTTTGTGTTTTATGTTACACACTATATTTTTTTCCTATTTTTTGGAATATTGGTGTGTCTAGATATTTTTATTAGAAAAAAACATAATTTTTTTCTGCTATCCCCTCTATATATGTCTTCTTTAATTTTTCCAGTCCTTAACCAGAGTGGACTGTTACCTTTACAAAATAATGCAAAATTTGAGCCTAAGGCAAAGCTCCTCCTTATTGCCCTTTCTCTGTCATCTGTGTTCCTCAAAAAAGTATTTATTTTTGCTTTAACACCTTTTCAGCTGCCGCTAAGATGATCTTAAAAATCTTGCTTGTATCTGTCCAATACCAGAGGCAATAAAGCAAATAATAATAATAATCTTTTTTTTAATGCAAGATTTCTAAGTAGAGACTCAGAAGCATATGGTGAACTTTTACAGAGGTTGAAACCATTTAAGAAAAATTATTTCCATCTGGCTATCTTAAAGTCCATAGATTTTTAATGTGCACCTAAAGTGTAGGGTGTATATTTCCATTGTTAATTTATTTCTTTATAATTCATCTGAATCCGTTATTTTGATAGACTTTCTCGGCAAGTAGTCATGTATGTTCATTGGCAGTGATGGCTAGAGTAAACTGTCTCTTGTTCAGTTTGGAATCTTGTTTGACCTCTTGTTTCTCGTTTTGAGATATCTCAGGGGCGCCTGGCTGGCTCGGTCAGGGGAGCATGTGACTCTTGATCTTGGGGTTGTGAGTTCAAGCCCCATGCTGGGCGTAGAGATTACTTAAAAAAAAAGAGAGAGAAATCTCAAATGAAATCCAAAGTGGATTAGTTTATTCAGCTGGTCTAGTGCAGTTTGCTGGCCTGGTGATTTGGACCCTGCCTGAAACCACACAGCGAGGGTTATGTGAATACTCCCCTGTCACACAGCACTTCATTTCTGGGGGCATTTCTGCCTTGGCCTCAATACAAACTCTGGTTCCCACGGAAGAATTTTGTATGGGCATGAGGTTCACACAACTAAGGCTTCTTCCACGTGGGTCTCCTCTCGCATACGTCCATATTTTGTTGCTCTCTGTACCTCACTCTTGAAAAAGTACTTCACATTTAGAATTAATAGAGTTAATGTCCCTACATGTTCCTTTAAGCAGATTTCCTTCCCCACCTTTGCCTTCCATTCCTTTTGCCAAAGGAAATTTTTCCTCAGATTATTTTTATCTTGCTTTGAAATCAACTATTTTTGTGAGACAGACTCTTCTGAATGGACTCCTGGCGATCCCCAGGGACTACAAGAAGAAGAGAGGACAGCAAAACTGTGTCCCTTCTGTCCTCGCTGCCTGTTGTCTTTCCTTATCGCTGGGATTTTCTCACTTTCCCTGGATGAGCCTTGCCTCGGATCTAACTTTGTGTGAGGATGAGTGGAGTCAGCGCTCCCGCTGTGTTTCCTCAGATTGTTCTTCTCACAGTGCGATTTCTAAAATGTTGCATATCATCCTTGTTAATAAAATAGAGCATTTCACCATCACCCATCAGATCACATTTAAATTCACCATCTGAA